GAGCCTCAGCATCATATAAAAATAAATAAAGATATTGTGTCCAACCACAACTATATATATGTGTGTGTGTGTGTGTGTATGTATGTATATATATATATATATATATATCACACCAAGGTTCTATCAATTGTCTCCACCACTGAATACTGAATAAAGAAAAGACTGCTGATCTGAGATTTGCTTCCAGTCTCCTACATTTGTCACATATGCATCTTTTGTCCTAACAAAAGGTGCTAGTATACTAGGCATGGTGGTGCACACTTGTATCCCAGATACTTGGGAGGCTGAGGTAAGAGGACCATGAGTTGGAGCCCAGCCTGGGCAATTTAACAAGAATTTGTCTGAAAATTAAACACAAAGGGATGAGGGTGCATGTAGCTCAATGGTGTGGTAGAGCAAATGCAGAGAGTATGTGAGGCCCTGGTTTCAGTAATCTCCAGTACTAAACATAAACCAATAATAAAATAAATTAAAACATGTTAACCATGAATTGAATTAATCCTTTGCTTCTTTTATTTTTTATAATTTGGTCTTTCTTTTTTTAAAAAAAATATTCATTTTTTAGTTGTAGTTAGACAACTACATAATATTTTTATGTGGTGCTGAGAATTGAACCCAGGGTCTTGCACGTGCGAGGCAAGCACTCTACTACTGAGCAACAGCCCCAGACCATCCTTTGCTTCTTTTAAAATTTCCTTTTCCACAAAGGGAATGTTAAATTCTTTGAGGGCACAAACTTATCTGCCTTTTTTACCAATGTATTTCCTGAGCAACTTAATAGCTCAGCAAGTCTGAAAAAAAAATAGTAAGTAGGATGTGGGGCCTCCAAACAGGGTCAGAAGAACACCAAGCTCAGGAGGCTGTCACACACTGCTGCTGGTGTAGGGCATTATCTGAATGGGCAGTGTTGTGAGTGGACTCAAAACAGTTTATTCCAGAGGTCCATGGGCAGGCCAGGCACGGGTCCAGGAGCAAGCAGGTATAAGAAGGTATAAGTGGAGCCTCAGTGAGCTGAGCCCAGCAGAAAAGACAGTGTGAGCAAGGACTTATCCAGGACATAGCAGGTCCCTCCACATCTCCACCTCACACTGTCCTGTCCCTTGGATACTGCTGGTTATTGGTGAAGACTCCTGCTTCCTCACAAGTTGAAGTTTGAACATTAGAGAATCATACTGAGGCAAGCATATAAAGCAGGGTTTATTTAAAAAGGGGTAACAGAGACTTCTCCTGGGGGGGAGAAGGGGGCCATAGCTGGTATCTTGGTATCCCAAGAAGCAAGGTATTCTGCCCTTTTTATTTGTCCTAGGCTTTCTTTGTTCTCCTGCCCTCTTCCTCTTATCTTTCTCCTTCCCAAGTAAGGGAAGGAGAAATAGCATTCTCTTTCTGTGGGATGGTCAAAGGTGGAAAAGAGGTGGGGAAGGGCAGGATGGCAGAGTCCAGCACACCTTAATCAACAACCTTAGAGATCCCTGTAGGGAGGGTCAATTCTTGGGACAGGTTACCTTAACAACAGGTTGGAGCAGAGGCAGGTTCTTGATAAGGGTGGAGGAAGGGCTCTGAAGGAATTAACATTTCAACCCATGAGGGGACAGTCTCTAACTTCCCGACTCAAAATTGGCCTCCTAGATCTGACCTGACTCCATTTACATATCTCTACTGACTGCCTGTCTGATTTTGGCTTCAGTTTTTCTTGTAATCTTCACAAATAACAAAGTAATGTTACTGAAAGCTGGGTCTTTGTCACCAATGCCAATTCATGCCAATTTAATAATGAAGACATGGTTTTGAGAAAAAAGTGAAAGTAGTTTTATTACTTTGCAATGAAATGAGAAACACAGGGGACTAGTGTCCCAGAGGCTGGGTTCTGCCCATAGGGAAAACAGAGGGCTTTTAAAGAAGGTTTTCAAAGGTTACTTTCCAGGTGTGCCCTGGAGCTATTCATTTCCTAGATCCTCTGGTAGATACCTTCTTCCTGTGGAGCACTGAGAACTCAGGGTAATCTTGTTCCCTGACTCCAGGTTAGGGAGTCAGGAAGGAGAAAAGAAAATAAGTTTGCTTTAGAGAATAAACCTCAGAACAAGGAGAAGTATAATAAAATGGAGAAATGGAGCACTGTTACAATTATTCAATCTGTTGAACCCTGATGCAAAGAAAAGACCCACCAACTCCAATTTTAAATCGAATTAAAACAAGTTTGTATTTGTGTACACATAAAGAACTGATCAGTGGCTGTCTCTTCTAACATGGGCTAGATAGCAGCCCCCCAGCTTTCCAGGTACAAGGTTTTATAGCACAAAAAGTTACAAAGGGGGGTGTCCAACAGGATTTTGACAAGCATATATAAAGGCAGATATTAGGTTAATGATCTACAGGGCATGATGGTTCAATTTAGGGAGTAAATTCAGATCACAACATCAGAATTTATGAGGCACCGCTGAGGTTTCAGAGAGGGTTGTTATCTGATCAGGGAAAGCCAGGCATTTGTGAGTTCAGGCACAGGCTGGAATGCCAAACCAGTTTAGAAAGCATAGTAATTTATAGTAAAACAGAAATTAAATTTTTTATGACTTTGTGAGGAGATGGCTCCCAATCTTAAGATAGAATTAGCTGGGTTCATAAAAGCCAAAAACAGTAGCTGCAACTCAGGAGGATCTCCAGGCTGGATGCAACCACCAGCAAGGAGAAGAGTGTCACATTCCAGGATACCACATTGGATGGCTCCTCACAGAAATTCCAGTCATCAGGGTAGCTCAAGTATTCATCTCTGTGAATGAGTAGGGTAAAGAGATCTGAGGAGGAAATGCAGCACCCTTCCCCCACCCCATCTTCTGAGCACACACCTAATGGTATTTTCTTTCTTTCTTTTCTTTCCTGGGGATTGAACTAGGGGCATTTGACCACAGAGCCACATCCCCAGACCTATTTTGTATTTTATTTAGAGACTGAGTTGCTCAGTGCCTTGCTTTTTCTGTGGTTGTTTTGGAACTCTTGGTCCTCCTGCCTCAGCCTCCCAAGCCACTGGGATTACAGGCTCCCCGCTTTGAATGGGATTTTCAAAGGGCTAGTTAGGCCCACAGGAGGGAATTCTCCTGAAGCTCTGTGGCACCCAGGTTTCCTGGCCCACGAGGGAAGGGCTTGGGAAAATGGGGAGTGGGGGGTCACGAATACAAGTTAAGCCTTACCGTTGGAAGTAATAGCCCCACACGCCATTCATTGAGCATTTGGGTCCAATTCTGAGTCCTTCTGCTGAAACTGTGAGGCAGTAGATGGCCCCAAGTAGTCCGATGATAACGCAGAAGCGTAAGGACATCAACTGGACAGGGGTGTGGAAGGTGGGCTGGATAGGGCTGTCCCCTCCCCACTCCTGGGCCAGCCAAGGCTAGCTCCACCCCCCACACTGCCCAACTCCTCTGGAGCTAGGTGGAAGATACATTTTTGGGCTGGGGATGTAGTCCTGTAACAGAGTGCTGGAAATTCTGCAGAGGATGCTGTGGCTCCATGAAAGACTGGTTCAGGGACAGAATCCTCAATCTTTTTCTCCTTTTTGGAGGGGATGCAGGTGTTACTGGGGATTGAACCCGTGAGTGCTCTACCAATGAGATACATCCCCAGCACTTTATATTTTTTATTTAGGAGACGGGGTCTCACTAAATTTCTAAGGCTGGCCTCAAACTTGAGTTCCTTCTGCCTCAACCCCTGAGTAGCTTGGATTACAAGTGTGCACCACCATGCCTGGCCAAATCTCTTCTTAATTGGGATCTCACCGGGCAGTCATAGTCATTAGCTTCCCGAACCAGTGC